GTCCAGGATTAGCCTGAGGACTAACATGGATTTCTGGAAATGCTCACCTCTCCCCAGTGCAAGAATAGATGCTTGGGGCTGTCCCTGCTGAAGTCTCTGTCTTCCCTCTGTGCTGAGATGCCCTCGGCAGCTCGTGGGAGTGGAGGATGGGGCTGGCTTTGACTTTGCTCCCCTCCTGCTCTCAGACCCCTGCCAGAACCACCACTGCAAGCACGGCAAGGTGTGCGAGGTGGATGACAACAACCAACCCATGTGTGTGTGCCAGGACCCCTCCAGCTGCCCAGCCACCGCAGGTGTCTTCGAGAAGGTGAGGGCAGGAGCTGCTTGGTGGCCCAGAGTGGGGAGGGACCAACCCCACATGGGCATTGCTAGGGATGGTGGGGAGACAGAATCAGGGCAGCAGGTCTGACCTCACCTGGTGGTGATCCAGCAGCTATTGCCCACCCCAGGGAACAAGTTAAACATCTTGTTTGGAGGCTTTCCCTGCAGAATCCCCAGCAAATCTGGGCTTGGCTGCCTCTCACATCTCCCCACCCTGTGCAGGTCTGCGGCACCGACAACAAGACCTATGACTCCTCCTGCCATTTCTTTGCCACCAAGTGCACCTTGGAGGGAACCAAGAAGGGACACAAGCTGCACCTGGACTACATTGGGCCTTGCAAATGTAAGTGGAGCCACTCCCTCAAACAAGGGGACCCCTGACCTGAGCACAGCCCCCATGCCCACAGTCTGAGGGAGAGCAAAGGTCCAGGCAGGCTCAGGGCTGAGATTGGAGGGCACTGGGGCTGTGTGTTTGGGGTCTGGGGCTGCATCTCCAGATGCTGCACTGACCACTGTGTTTGGCTTCCAGTCATCCCTGCCTGCCTGGACACAGAGCTGACTGAGTTCCCCCTGCGCATGCGGGACTGGCTCAAGAACGTGCTGATCACCCTGTACGAGCGTGATGAGGACAACAACCTGCTGACTGAGAAGCAGAAGCTCAAGGTGAGAGACTGGGGACAGAGCCTGGGAGCTCACCCCGCCAACAGAGACCAGGACACATGGGTATCCCCTCCAGAATGACCTGGGGCACCCCATTTAAATCCCCTCTTGTGGTCTCCCACCCTATTCCCTTGCTGACAAGGCCTCCCTGGCCTCTCCTATGGCAGGTGAAGAAGATCCATGAGAACGAGAAGCGCCTGGAAGCCGGTGACCACACCGTGGAGCTGCTGGCCCGTGACTTTGAGAAGAACTACAACATGTACATCTTCCCCGTGCACTGGCAGTTCGGGCAGCTGGACCAGCACCCCATCGATGGGTGAGTGTCAGCAGGATGGAGACCCCACCAGGACCCTTTCCCACCCAAGGACCAGGACGATTTGGCAGCAGAAGGTGTCAAAGCAGCCTGGAGATGTGACACAAGTGGGTGGCTGGTGGCACAAGCACATCTGGCAGGGGTTGTGGCAAACCAGGCTGGGATAGAGGTTGGTTTGCCTCCTGCAGGAAGAGAGGCCTCCCCAGGCTCAGCTGCTCCCATCTCCCTTGGGTGTGGAGTTTCCATCTTCTCAGATTTACTGTCGTGTGATAGTTCCCTAAAATATCTTAGTCCAATGGGCCTGGGATAACTTCATCAGCTGAGATAGCAGCTGCTGGCTTAGCTGTGAGATGGAGAAGGGCACAAGAGTGATCACAGACCCATGGGGTGAGGGCAGCTGGCAAGAACCGCCAGCTACTATTTTGTGACCAGTCACAAAGGCAGGCACCAGTCCTTGACCTTCATGACACTGAGTGGCTGATACTGGGAGGGCACTGGGACAGCAGTCAGACCACAGAGCTGGGTCCACAGCATCTCCCCTCCTGTGACCATGCGGCCACCTTGGCAGGTACCTGTCCCACACCGAGCTGGCCCCGCTCCGTGCCCCCCTCATCCCCATGGAGCACTGCACCACCCGCTTCTTCGAGGCCTGCGACCTGGACAACGACAAGTACATTGCCCTGGAGGAGTGGGCCAGCTGCTTCGGCATTAAGGAGCGTAAGTACTCGGGAGGGCAGGAATGGGGGTGCAGGGGACACTGAAAAGCACCTCCACAGCCCCCTCTCTGGACGGAGCAGGGCATTTCAGCTGGTGCTGGCTGAGGCAAAGCAGGGGAGAGTGGGGAGGGTGGACTGCAGGAGCAGTGGGACCCTGGCAGCATCCGCCTCCTAACCTCGTCTCTCTCTTTTCCTTCCACAGAGGACATAGACAAGGATCTTGTGATTTAAACGCCCAGCTTCCTGCTCTGCTGCCAACTTTGTCTTGTTTTAACCTTCCCACTTCCTTTGGTTTTTAAACTGCTTTTGTTTTGTTTTTTTTTTTCCCTGGGAACAAGGTGCTAATATAGATCTAAACATATGTAGTAACGGTGCTAAGAGAAATAACAGTCCTCGTTCATAGCCTTATCTATTACCACTAGATTACTCACTCAGCTGTTTCCACGTGCTCTTACCAGCCTTTTCTCTATCCTGTACCATTGACGGACTGTTCCTGTCCCAAATATCCACTCTGTCTCAGTATCCACTCTTGGATCGACTTCTCTTTAACTTCTCACTAACAGCACATTCCTGGACACGTCAGCGCAGATGCAAAGCCCTCTCAGCTGATTCACCGCCCCAGTTACAGATGATGCCCGTGAGGGAAGGCAGAGCCAGAGGATGTAGGAGGATTGGGTTCTCAAGCAGAGCAGCTGCAGGTGACATTGTGGCCACCAAGCTCGTGCTAGGGAGGACGGAGAAGGGTGAGAAGGATAAAGAGTGGCAGGATTTTATTTTGGTTTTTGTTTTCCTTTTTTTTTTTTTTTTTTTTTTTTTTAATTTTTGGACATTCCCAGGGCTTGAATTTAGTAATTATTGGGCACAAAAGAAAAAATAAAAAAAGGCTAATTGAATTAGCCAATAGGGAAACACACAAAATTTAAAACAAGGAAGATGAAATGCATCCCATCTTGTAAAATCCCTTGAAAAATAAAGGTTTGAAAGTGCTACATGCTTTACCATCACTCAATGACCTACTGCTGTCGTGTCTTCTGTGTGAGATGGGGCATGACTGCCTGTTCCCCCAGGTTGCCCGTGTCTGACCTTGATGTGATTCTGCTGTAGCTGAAATAAAGGTCTTGGCTCTCCCCACTCCACAGTGCACTCAAGCACTTCCCGCCTCTCTGCCTTGGTTGTGCTTAAATTCCAGCCCTGCTCTCCCAGGGAAGCTGTGCCAGTCTTGGAAGGGATGTTTCTGCCCAGAAAGAGGCATGTTTGCCACATGCTCAAGAGAAAGGCTGTAATATTTTTTCCTGTTGTGGATTTAAGGGATGAGTGAGATAGAAGGGAGAAGGTAATTGGATTTTGTTTTATAGAAAGGGTCCTGACAGGACCAAAGGGATGGTTAAATCTCAAAGGCTGAGAACTCTTTTTTTTACTTCTGAATGTTCCCTGTGCCTTATATTATTAAATTCCTGCCACAGTGTGAGCAACCTGATGAGTCTCCATAATAAAAAAATCCTGATTTAAAACACTGACAAATAAACAAGCCTGCCATGTTCCTCTGTTTCATCCCATCCCACTGAGGGGGATTGCATGTGTTCAAACTGTATCCCAGATATCCCTGCCCTAGGGAATAGTCTGGTCCAAGGGAAGCTGAGGTGCTTCTGCTTATCGCAGTCCATCACTGTAAACAGGCTCCTCGGGGGATATTGGATGGGTAACGTGGGCAGATGGAGCTGGAGCAATGAAGGCAGACGGGGTCACTGCAGCAGCCAGCACAGACCCTCACATGGCTCTTCAGGCCCTTGCTTTCATCAGCAATAAAATCCCTGGGAAAGGCTAAAAGGCACAACAGTAGGAAAATAAACACCACCATTGGCATGGGCTAAAAATATCCCAAGCTGCAAGAGCTCTGGCTCAGCTGTGAGGTCTCTGTCGAGAGCCCCTGGATGGATGTGCTGTGCTCCCAGCAGAGCTGCCAGATCACATCCTCCACAGGGCCTCTCCCAGCTGCAGAGCCCTGGGCAGGTCCCATGGGGCACAGTCACTTTGCAGGCATGTTGCCAAGGTGTTTGACCCCAGGGGGAAAGCTGGTGCCTAGAAGGGCCAGGTGAAGGTTTTCCACCCCTGCTTTGAACACCGGCACTCGTTCCATCCGGCCACGCTGCTTCCCAGGGCTATTAGCCAAAGCAGGGGTTCTTGATGGACACTCAGCAAATGCCTCCCTGCTGTGGGGGCAGCCTCTGTGAACTGGCAGACCTGACACAGAGAGGGGCACTGCTGCCCATGACCCCTGCAAGATCCAGCTGGATGTGACCCACCTCCGTGCCAGGAGAGCTGGCAAGGGAGGACGGGAAGGCAGGCAGGGGCTGTAGGAGATCAGCCATCCTGTGCAAACCTGCTTTCCAGTCGCTCCCTCTCAGCCAGAAACTCCTGCTCCACTCCCACACCAAGACACAGCTGCAGTCCTTCCAGCTCCAGCCCTTCTGCCAGCGCTGCTGGACACACACAGGCAGCTTTGGTCCCCTGCAAGGGAAGGCTTTCCAGCCCTCCTCTCCTCTGCCTTCTCCTCTTGTGCAGGAGTCAGCTCTAAATCCCAGCAAGCTCAAGAAAACCTGTAGAGTTAGTGATCATGCCTCTGGAAGGTGAAGGGATCCATCTCTAAGGCCATGTCCAATGCTCCCAGTGGTCTGTCAGAGCCCAAAGGACTCAGCTCAGTTCTCCCACAAGTGCAGCCTCCCTGGCTTTAACTGAGCATCAGAGTGAGCTCAGGAGGTTGCAGCTGGGGCTCCCCTAACCCCTCAAAGGTCACAGCCTGAAGTATCAAGTTGCTGGAATTTCACTGCGTTGGGGCAAATGCCATACAAGGGGTTACATCAGGACTTGAGGAATGAGTTGGCCTCTTTGAGCTTTCAGACCTAGACGGTCAGCAAGGGTGGAACAGAACAGCCCTTTCCCTGTTAAAGCTGAAATTGAGCCCTCTCCTGCCTGCACAGCAGCAAAGAAACTCGCCTGTATTTCCAAGTGGAAATTCTCCCTGTGGTTAGTGCTGACTGAGGACACAGTTTGCAAACCTGAAAAGAAGGAAATAGAAAAATAACAGAGAGGTCTGGGTCCAAGACCAGCACAGTCTGACCTGAGTGCTACAGTGCATCTGCAGGCAGAGGTGGTTCATCTTGTTGTGGTTACTCACTGAGCTGTGTCCTGCATTGGAGAATGGAAAGATGGGGAAGACAGGATTCCTGGAGGGATTAGTGCTTTCCTGTCTGTTTTCCTCACCCTTCCTTTTACAAAAAAACCAGACTGTGGCATAAATACTACATTAAGGTTAGTGGCTTAAATATTCAAAATACAGGTGATGCAAAAAGGTGACAAGCCAGGATCACCATGACTACTCCAGTAACTGAGTAACCGAGGCTTCAACCCATGTTCAGGCACCCAGGATGGTGGAGTTGATCGAGTTATCATTCCCAGCAGGTAAATCTCTCTCACAGCAGTTCGAGCACACACAGTATTACTGCTGAGGGGGAATCTCATCATGGGTCTGGCACAGGGAGGGGTCCCTGTGCCACGACCACCTCCACCCCTCTGCCCTGCTCCGGCTTGTGGAGCAGCTTCCAAACTGGCCATATCCACTGTGGAGCCTTCTTTTCCCTTAACACCTTTTATATGTTTCAAAGATGGACAAATCCAGTAAAAACACGCCCAACCTCCAGCGAAGAGACAACGTCGGGAAGAACTCTTCAGGCAACACATCTCTCCGCAGCCGGCCTGGAATGAGGGGATGAGGGAAGCAGGCATCCCTCTGCCCCCCGAAGTTGTGAAAGGCGCGTCCTCCTCCTTCTGTTCCTCCTTCTCCCGCTCCTCCCCCGGTCGATCCCCATCCTAGGCTGGCGGCAGCGGCGCGGAGCGGCCGGCGGGGGGAGCGATGGCTCCGGGGATGGAGCCTGGAGCTGCGGGGAGGCTTCGCCGGAGCAGAGCGTGTTGTCCCGGGGATGCTCGGGCACCGGGCGGGAGGAGGAACCCGCTCCCGCATCCCCCAGTCCAGGGCGCTGCCCTTCGCAGCGGAGCAGCTCAAAGCCCTGGTCCCTTTGGAGGGTGTTCCCACCACGCTTGGCTATCCCATCCCATCCCATCCCATCCCATCCCATCCCATCCCATCCCATCCCATCCCATCCCATCCCATCCCATCCCATCCCATCCCAGTTGCTAAATCCTTTAGACATAAAAACGTTGATCAAATCTGAGGTTAAGTTTGGCAAGAGTTGTCCACTCTTGAACCTTATGACTCAATGGGAGGGTCTTCCTTACCATTTTCACTCTTATCCTTACTTATCCTTGGTCATATTGCGATGATTCTGATCAATTTTCCTTTCTGCGCTTTATCTATGTAGGAATAAATAGAGTGGACCTTGCCTTCAAATGCTGTTAAGCCACACTGCCACAAATTTGTATTAAAACCTGATTTTGTTGATACCTTTGCCAGTGATTCTTTAAGTGACCTGAGCCACTCATTCATGACACCATCCCATCTGACTAAGAGGTGCCTGAGCCCCCCTAATCCTTCTGGAGTACAGACCCTATTTTAGTCTAAAGGACACATGGCTTATGTGATGCCAGATTTTGTGTTTTGCAGCTCGGTCTGTCTCTCTCAGTACCAATCCCTCCAATTTTTGAACCTACTGGCTGGTTTTAACTTAGATTTGATGGGGCAGAGAACCACAGGCACGGTATTCCTCTGGGTGGCATTAAGACAGACAGAGAGAGGGTGCAGACAGATGGACAAGTACTTCACTGCACAGTGATGCTGAAGTCTAACAGGAGCTGGGCTCGATCTGGTGCCAAGGTAATTGCACAGCAGGTAATTATTTGTGTCAGGGACTGACTATCCAGTTTCTGCATTGGCCATGAAGAAGTTGCATTACTTTCTATTTCATGTCCTGCCACATAAATCATGGCCATTTCCCAATTAAGCCCATTTTTTGTCAGCCTCACTATTATGCTCCTAATCAAAGAAACTCTGATCCTCTGATTCTTGGGAAATGACTTGCCCCAGGACACATTTTTATGTGCATTCCCTACATTTTTCTTAATTTCATATTTCCTTTTGATCGCTGCTTCATTTGGACTCAAGAGACTATACAAGTCTCTTGTTATTTCTTGTCCAAACACCTCTCTGATCACCTTTACTGCCTGGGTTTTGGAGACTTTGCTGCCGTCAGCTACGGGGCCAAAATTCTCCATATGCAAGGCCAGGCCTGACCACAATGTTATGGTGACTTGTCTGCGGCTGCCCAGGGCAGCCACGGCACCACAGCCATGCCTGGCAGGACAATCCTTGGTGGCTGGGGCTGTACTTGACACTCACAGGGTTTCTCACTGTCAGGAGGGGTGTGAAAACACCGCAGGACTCTGAGACTGAGCATCCAGTCACTGCTGACCGACCACAGGGTTCATTTCCCTCCCACAGAATGAGGATCCTCCTGGAAACTGGACGCTCTGTTTCCCCCAGCACTGACGTCCCCAGAAGAGCTGCTTTGGCTCAGAAGTGCCTGAGCTGGATGCAGACTGAAAACTGGGTTAATATCCAGGGCAAGTATCACCACTACTTTGCTGTTCTCCCTCTCCCTGAAGAATCTGCTGTTGAGAGCAGAGATGAGTCAAGGCAGACCTTCGGTCTGACCCAGTCCTGCTGCTCTTCTGCACTAACCACACCTGCAATCATGCCCTGTCTGCTTGGGCTTGAGCAGCAGGATTCATCCTGTAGGATTCCTGTTGTTTCCTCCTGGTCATGGTGTCTTTAATGAAATCCTTACCTTATCTACCATCAGATGATTTCCCCCATCACTTGTGAGCCAGCTCCAGGTTTTCACTCTGGTGCAGATTTTCATGCCCTTCAAAGAGCCCTTCCCTACTCTGGGTGCTGCCCACATGCCATCCCTTTGGTGAGCCTTTATCCTTGTTCCACAGGAATAATTTCCTTTTCCTTTACAGCTTGCTCATGCAAGTGGGATGCTGGAGTGTTCTACTTAACATGTCTTGTTTGCATCCTTCTCCCTAGGCTGGCAGCTGGCATTGGATGAACTACCTGTGGCAGGAAGAAACATGCTGGGATAATCAGAGGGGAAATCTGGAGGGCTCCAGAGGTTTGCTCCTCTTCAGAGGCAGATGCCCATATCCTTTGCACATTAACCACAACACAGGGCCTGTCCATACAGATGTTTTCCAGCCAGTGCCGGCAAACTTCAACCCCCAGCCATGGAAACTCACTTCCCCTGGAGATCTTGGCATGCAGGACAGACAGGAAGGAGCAAGAAGATAATTCCCCTCCGTATGCAAAGAGCAAAAGAGGAAGGGAGGAGACGACCATCCTCCTTTCCTTGGCTGCCTCTGCCTGAAAACTGGCAAGGGTGAAGGTGCTCCCCACTCAGCTCACACCTGCAAACCCCTGCCCCTGCTGCTGCCCACACGGGCAAGCCCTCGGGGAGGAGCACAGCAGAGAGTCCCAAGCAGCCCCTGCAGCCTCAGCACTGCCGGGCTCAGCCCAGCACTCCCACCCTGCTGTGCTCATCCCTTCTCCCACTGCCTCCAGAACCCCCCCCCACCACCATGCAGCTGCAGTGCCACGGCAGTGACCCCCTGGCAGATCCTCCTGCTCTGGTTTGTCTCTCCGAGGATGCTCAGTTCTGGCTTGAAAAGCCAAATGTTAGAAGAGGAAGAACGCCTTTGGAAAGGAGCTGTGGTGGGGTGTCGGGGTACACATTGCTGCTCCAGCAGCCAGCCCCTCTTCCACAGCCCCAAGCTCAGGGCTCTGCTGAGGGCTCCCCTTTTCCTCCACGCTGGAGCTGTGTCTGGCTTCCCTGCTTTTCGCCTCCAGCCGTACCTTTAACAAGTGTGGGCAAACCCAGGCTCCTGAATGCAACTCAGTTCAAGGCAAAGGTGTTGGGGCACGTTCCATTTGGGAGAGAAGGAATGGTTGAACTGCTGGGGAAAGGCCAGCCTTGGACTGCCAAAGCTGGGAGAGGCCTGGCTTCCTGATCCAGCCCCGTTTGGAGAGGCTTGTGAATGGACCCAGGGAGGAGCCAGTAAGGGATTGGATCGGCTCTGCTTGGCAGGCTCAGGGACAGAGGAAACAAGATGGGGTTGAGACATGCCCCCTGCTGCAAAATGTTCCTTCTATGAGAGTGCCAAAGGATCAGTAAAGAGAGTGAATGAACCTGCCTTGGCATCCCTGCAGTTGCTTCTTTGTAAATGTCTCCTCTTCCTTTCCAGGTGAGAGAGCAAAGATCTTCTCCTTCCATTCAGACAGAACCGAGACCTCATGGCAGAGCTGTGCTTCACCCACGTGTGCACACCCCCACACAAACAGGGTTTCTTGGGATACTTGACAAGTTCCTACTTCTCCTTCCATGTTTTGTTCCCTCTCTTGCCTCTCCTTGGGCTCAGCTTATCCTTGCACAGCTGCTTCCGTCCCAGTCAGTGACACCAGAGTAAAGCTGAGTCCAGGTGGTTGTGGCTCTTCCCAGCCCCACTCCAGCCCACAGCATCTCCACCAGTCCCACAGAGAACAGGAGCTGGGCTTGTTAACCCGAGTGACAACCCCGTGGGTGCCTCTGTCTGGGAATCCTCCACTCAAACCCTATTGCCAACCTAAACCCCAGGCACTTCTCTGCACACCCTCTCCCGGCCTCCCTCACACCCCACTGAGCCAGCTGCCCCCAGGCTGCTCTCCACAGAGTGCTGCAGAGCTTCTCCGAGTGCCCCAGGCTCTGTGGGGTTGGACACCCGTCTCTCCTGCCCACTTTGCAGCCCGTCTTCTCCAGAGCCTGCAAGACTTCCCGGGAAATGCTGGAAGGGATTTTCTGCCTCACACTGTTGGGGTTTCCAGGAGCCAGAGAAACCTCCCCCATATCTCCAGATCTAAATCACCAGAGACGTGCCGCAGCCAGTAGCCACCCCAGCACTACCCCCACCTCTCTGGAGGGAAGTCAACCTTACCCCAGAGCTAAACAGGAGGCTCTGCTCCCCATCTCCCTGGCAAGCCCCTTGCTCACCCACAAGGGAATATCAGCCT